GGACGCCGAATTTCACCACCTTTGAGAGTTCTTCGATGATAAATTCCTTAGATATCCAAATATTGATAAATCCAGGATCAGCAATCTCTATCTCAGGAAAAATAATACTTAGTCAAAACGATATTACTTTAGAGATAAAATCAGTCTGTTTCAACTCTTTTACGATTTTCTCTGCAACAGACTTTGGATCGCAAGGAGACAGTTTCTCTTTTAATAACTTCTTAATTAACTTTTAAAAAAGTATACTTTCGACAAAGAAAGAGCATTATTGCACTGATAATCCCCAAAATTATTCATGATTGATGGGATTACAACAACTTTGTGACCAGAAAGATCAGGAAAAGCGGATTTGATCGCCATGTCAAATGCGGCGATAAGCCCATTAAGTATACTCAGCTGGGATCCGTTTATTAAGTCATTCTGCTCCTTAATACTCTAACAAAGAATTAAAAAATAATGAGATGCCTTATGCAGGTGCTGGACCTGATAATTAAGCTTGGAATTAATCTCAAGTAATTCTTTGCATTTAGCAAATTTCGGATCATCAAAAATCGTCTCAAATTCTTTTTCTAATTTTTCAACATTGGCTAACTGAAAGTTATGCAATTATTAGGATTACTAGTGAAGAATAGGATGACATGTCAAAGATTCGGAGACAAGCGTGAAACACAATTAAACACTATTGCAAAAAATCAACAACTAAAACATAGTAAACGAAATGCTGATTACGCTTTAAATTATATAGATTTCGTGATTCAAAAAGCAATAAATTAATTCTTAAATAATAATTATTTATAGTTTTCATCATTATTAAAACTGCTTTATGTTTAGATCTACATGTCAGATATTAAGGAGATCAACATTTTAATTTAGAGTGGGCGATAGGGCCTATAAACTTTTATATCTACTTAGAAGTTAGTTCATATTGATGAAGCCTGGCTGCTAAGTGATTCGATTTGAACGTTATTCTCCTCAAAGCTAATGAGGTATTTAATTACTCATTATTCTTTCAAAGTTCGTATTCCAGATCACAATACAGTTACAATGGAATTTTTAAAATAATTTCTAAATAAACGAGATACAGCCTTAAAAGCTAATATCTTTGAAGGGATTTGCCCTAGAGTTTTTAAGAAGCGCATAACTTTATGAAATATTTTATGATATACTATTTTAATTAGCATTATCCCTTACTTTTCCTCAAGGGTGATTGCCTCTAACTCTATCAACAACATGGTAATCAAGTATTTCTGATCGGTGTTTTTATAAAAATCATTATGAGGCAGTGCAGACTCACACATTTAGAAAGGCCATATTAGAAATATGTTAATTAAATTTTCATCCTTTCAGAAATTTGCACGGATATACGCTGGTAGAAAGTTAAGTAGTGCCTTATTATGCTTGATTGATAGATTGAATTAGGAAGAGCGTAGTGAACCGCTATCTGAAAGAAGGCGACTCAACTTGTCCACTCAGTTATGGTTACAACTTCACTTACACTCGTACATATTAGATTAAGCTCATTGACCAAACCAGACGTACAATATTACGTTGTTTGAGTCATGTTGAACTTTAATGACCCTAGTCCGAGAGGTTAGGAATGGCGGTTTCGTATTCTGATTTATATGCTTACAAGTTTGAATTTCATTATCTCAGCCATACTTGCATGCTGGCATATTCAGTATCAAGCATGGCTTTTTCTTGTATCATTATGCCTTGATGACCATGGCCTGGTATTAGCTTTATTATATCATTCTGATTTGGAACCAGTATAGACGTTAGCACATAAGAATGCACATATCCAAGCAACAAACCATCCAATATCCATATATGCCTATTCATTTTTCGTTTTTATTAATAGTAATATATAAGAGGTAAGATATAGTCAGATAGTCTTCTTGACCTAGTGTTAGCGTGAGACGAGTATGAGTTCCGGCTCTGATTATGAACATCATATGATGGACGAAAGCTCAGCCCGTTTTCACGCGAAACGAGGAAAGAGGTCCCATGGACTGCATAAACCTAACCATCGCATTAAAGCTAAACGGCTGCAGTATAACGGGAGTTAACTGTGCTTTTATGATTTCGATCCAAGTCTGCCCTTTTATCCGCAATCCATTCCTTCTGGCCAAATCAGAGTCTCGCTTATGCCTTATAGAAACATTCATTTATATGCCTGCCTCAATGATTTAATTCTGTCGCTACCACAGTATCGGTGCTACTCGAGGCGTTATGTTCCACACTTTTCTTCAAGCCTTTGATAGTACGTATACGCCAGCCTCACTGAACAAGCCCCTAAACCCTGGATTCACAATTGGCATGAAAACATAACTTGACACTGTTGATTTCCTTATCATTATGTGGCATGTGCATTGATTAATCCTCGTGGTCAAGCCTTTCATGGACCACGTCTATGTTTAAACTTATCTACTAATAGCCAAATATCTATTGTCTCCACCGCATCTCTTGCTCTTCTATCCTTAATGCTCCAGACTCTTGTGTGACGTCCCCTTATTGTGATAATTGTACTTGGTTTAAATAGGCTCACAATAGACGTATCCTCTTGGTCTTCGATTGTTCCTTTCTGGTCTCCTTGTAATTACTTTTCCTAAAATTAAAAATATCAACTTTGTCCACTCTTGTTCTTTTTGGGAATATGGCTGTTCACTGATCTTCTCCGAGTTTTCTTATGCGGCCTGCAAAGGATTGGATTAGCCGATCTAAATAGAGAAAGGCAAGGTGAACAGCAGGTGTGATGACGCCACACTAAACTTGCCAAAAAGGGT